CTCTGGTTCAAAAGTTTAAGTTTGTCCCACCTTGGATGGGAGTGATTTTTAGATGGTATTAAGTTGTCCTTCAAGTAACACATCAGCCTAGAATTGCAGCTGAAGGGATTTTATCATTTATAACTGTGTGCCCTGATAAACTGCAAACAGTATTTGGTTACATCTGCAAGCAAGATAGTTGTTTGTGTGCCAGCTACCTACAGGCTACTTTTAGATAGAGGTGGATATAACTAATTACAGGTAATGTACAGTACTCCTTTGCCTTTGGAGGCATAGTTTGTAGTTTACCTTGCCTCTGCATTTGCCCTTGTTGATGATCTTGAGAGCGTACTCCCGTCCTGTGGAGTGCTCCACACATTCCCGGACGACCGCAAAGTTCCCATCGCCTAACATGCGTCCCACCTTGTAGCGGTCTGATATGTAGGCCGGCACAGCTGGAACCTCATCGACTAGAACCTCAGCTGCAGGGAGGAAGCACGAGGTTTAGAGCAGCTGAGGGACTCGAGAATATAAACCAGTTTACACTTGTTCAGTTCAGTATTTTGCAAAAAAAAAATTTCAGGCTACATTTACTGCAGCAACTGTAATAAACAATAACAGAAAGGAGGGATTTATTAAATGATTTCAAAGTAAATGATACATCAATACTGTTACAGATGCTTAAAATATATAGCTTATTAAAAGTAGCTTTAAACATAAAACCATCATCAGTTATAAATAATATTCTCTAAATTGTAATGAAGCTGGCGAATTGAAAAGTAAATACAGAACCGATTGGTAAATAAAAATATATGCAATCAATGTTCAGTTAAATATCAATTACTTTGATTTCTAACATTTAAGAAGGTTCTCTGGCTCCTCTTTAAGTAAATAAAGAGTCAACAAACAGAGAGAGGAAAAACACTATTTGTTACAGAGTTGTATGGAGTCAGAGAGGTGAAGACAGACAGCAGAGAATGGGAAATTGATGAGAACACGATGTACAAATCAGAAGAAAAACACAGACACAGGAGACGTGGGTGTGAAAGAGAGAGCAAGACGCATCAAAGGTCATGAACATGATTCAGACATGCATGATATTTGCAAGTGAGTCGCCTTTGCCCACTGATGGACTGATGGGACATTCTTGTAACATTAATTTTCCTCACCTTCAGTAACCAGTCCATCCCCATCTTCCACAGAGCTGGAAACTTTAGTGGAAGACAGAGAGGTGGAAGAACCCTGGGACCCCTGCAGATAGGGAGAGGGGTAGACAGAGGGCAGGATGGCAAGAGAAACATGGGAATGGCGATTATTTAAATCTGCATTTATCCACTCCATAATCAGCACAACATGATGAAACGACAATCCCAGCTGAAACAAATACGTATATCCAAAAATAGACAAAAAGGACATTGTGCAACTCATCCTCAGAACATCCTTAAGTCTGTCTTTGTGTTTGCATGTCTGTCTGGTGTATTGTGCGGCCTTGTGTTATGTGTACACTGTGCTCATAAAAAGAGCCAGAACAGATTTACTTAAGCTACTGAGCTGAATATAAACCGGTTATTTATTCAGCAAAGCACCTGTGTGTGTCCACGCTGGGACAGACGCCTGCATCCCAATAAGCTCTTCTCCATTCACAGAACTTTAAGTAATTCCTATGTTATTGCACCTTCCTCTCACTCCTCACTTCTACCTTTAATAAAACATAAAAACACAGGTTTTGGTGACACTAATAAAGGCGGGTGAATACTGGCTTTCATCTGGTTGGTAAGTAGGAGGTCATTAAGGCAAAAGAGGGTGGCTGAGATGCGGCGTCTGCATCTATCTAAAGACAAAAACTCATTACGCCCTCCACCTCCTAACCTTCCGTCTGGTTGTCATGGAAGCAACAAGGGTGGGGAGTGAGGATCTAGTCGGGACTGTAAATGAGAATCTTGTATTTCTGTCTTTTCTCCACTCCTGTTCATCTTTCTGTTCTCCTCTCCTCCTTGGCTTCAAATTCATTTTCTGCATTTGGACAATTTGATTATGCTTCATTTGTCGTCGCAGGCACCTGTCAGGAGGGCTGGTCTCTTAATTTGTAAGATGAAAATTTTTCAAGTGTTCAATAATAACAATAATCATTTTCTCATTTTCCTCCACTGCCTCACAGTCAGCCCTGAGGACACAGCAGTGAAAAATCTTTGTGGTTTGGGGGTTTCCAGTGCTTGAATAAGTCCCACAGGTGCAGCCGGCACATGTAATGTGGCCAGTGATGGAGGTGGACGCCGTCACATTTTCTCTAACATATAAGCGTAGCTCCCTGGCAAATCTGAATGATGCAGTTTGAGCTTTAAATGCATGATGCACACCTCAATCTTCATGTACAACTTGCCTGAAATGTAGAGATAGAGAGCAGTGCATCAGCAGTCTGCTGGTGGCCACCTCTGACTAATGTTGTCTAGCCGATTATACCTATTCCTCTCATCTTTCATTTCAGTGCAGGTGTAGTATTTCTGATGCTCTCTTATTACAAATCAACAAACAACCCTAACATCACACAGTATAATTCACACATCAATCAGTCCCAACTCCTTAGAGGAGATGATATCTAAAAACTGTTGCTGCTTAATGGATGCCGACCATTGTTATGATAATAGCCCTGAAAGCATTTGTAACAAGGTGACCTTGTAAAAGGAGGCAAAATGTGGCATCAAAGGACTTTAACGATAGGCCTTTTTCACAGCAAGCCAGGTGAAACAAAGTCAGGATGCTGCTATTGTGCTTATTGGCTCACTGGAATTAGTATTATTGGTAACACCTGTGTTCACCCTACTATTTCATGTCAAATGGCTGCTGTGAAAAAGCATGGTAAAAGTTCACAAAACAAAACTTCCTAAAACTTTTGAAACTGTGTCATTGTGCTTCGGATTTTACAAAAGTCACAAAATTTTCAGCACAGTGCAAATCTATTCAACGTCAAAATGCTTGCTGGGAACTGATGAAGTGTGAAGGAGAATGTGCATGTAGCCTAAATGATGTACAAAAAGGGCTGCAGACCATATACAGACCAAAATAAACGCATTTTTTTCATTTGATTTCAGTTCTTTCCTCATGTGAACCTTTTATTTCTGTGGTGTCCAGTTAGACTGAGATACAGCCTGGAGAGCTTGTTGTCATGGCGGAGGGAGGAAAAGGCAACCCATCGTAATGACTTAGTTCTGAAAACTATTTACAGAGTGGAGCTGCTCTATATCTCTGCCCAAGTAGCTGTCAGCTCTTTTACTCATCTCTACTGCTGTGACCTGAAAGCCACCCAGGTGAATGTGGCTGTGAGTCAGTCTAAATTTGGTTTATGTAATGTTGTTTTTGGTCGGGCGCTCATCCCCGGAACAAGAAAACCCACTTAATGCCCGTAAAGCCGATGACCCTCCTGTGCTTTATCTACAAAACATCCTTCTTCCGCTCTTTTATTTTCTCATCCCGACTCGTATATTCGCCACTCTTGTGCCCTTATCTCACATCCAGCCCTGTCCGCTACTCGCTTTCTCATTTTGAACTCCTATCTCGCTCTTCATGCCACCGAGGGAAACAAAATACTGTTGCTATGGAAACTGCTCACAGAGAGGAGAGAGAGGCAGCTTATGAGACTTCCAGTGTGGAGACAGAAAGCCTATATATGGCCATTTCCTGTCTGCGGGCTGGGAGGTGGGTTCAACCTTCTATGAACATTGTGTCTCTTTCCTGTGTGCAGAAACTACGAGACAGATGGAGTGACAGACAGAGTGAGAAAGAGAGTGAGGAACAGAGGAAGGGGAATGAAGAGACAGAAAGAGAGGTGTAGCCTATGGAGTCTGGTCTGGTTGATATTGATCACTGGCAGGAACTGTCTTGTTTTTGTTAGATGGTCCAGCTTTGTCCCTGTTGCACAATACAAGACACACTATTCCTAGCTCTACATCTCTACTCTTTTGCACTGGCTATGACTCACACCTCTAAAAACACACTGACAAACCTTTAACATCATGGATGCAGCCACTGCTCTTCAAACCCACAAGGGCAACACTTGGCAACTGAATACTGATCAGTGCATAAATGTGAATTAAACAGGATGTCCATGATTGACCTTAAACGTGGAGCGTCGTCTCTGTGTAGCAGTAGAATTGGTGATTTATTTTGTGGCGGAAAAGGAAGTCTTGTCAGCTGTAGAATTCAGCATAAAAAAATGCCACATCGCATTTGCTAAAGGCAGCTTAAGTGTGGTGCTAGCCTTGTCCTCAATGCAACTGTTTGACGACACACACACTAAAGACACACTAAAGCCTTCTTTTTCCCCGTCCCTCAGGCTGAGAGAGCCGAACCTCTTCTCTAAGCAGCATTTCTTGTCACTTTCACTGTCATGCAATATCCAGCAAAAGCAGGATTTATTGGTGTTTGCTTCTGCGAAAAAATCTAATAAGATTCGATAGTAACAGGGTACTTTGTTTTGTCCCAAGTTCCTACTCTGCTTCTCTCATAACAACACAAGGTAGAGGAGATAATATTTCTTGGGTCTTATTTTGGTGTCTAGACGGACAGGAAACATAATCTATCTGACTCTCATCTAAAGAGATCAACAAAGTTTGGGGATTCAGGATTTCTGCTCTGCCAGTTGGACACAGGGAAGTTTACTAATCACGGTCCTTATGGACAGCAAATCCTGGGAAATCACAGGAACGTGACTAAAAGCTTTAGGCAAAATTAAAAAATGGGAGGGAGACTTGAGCTGCTTCATCCAGTAAAAAAAAACAAAAAAAACATCCAGAACAGAAGCAGTGGGACAGAGGAGATGAATGCACCTCTGGGACGGCATTTGTGTAATCTCTTCTCTGCTCTGCTGAATACAGATGTAAGTTAAACAAAGCAGAACCGCTGATAAGCATGTATATGATCATCCATCTACTGGAAGTATTTGTTTTTGCATGCGATAAACATAATGAACAAGTGTTAATCAACACAAACAAAGGAGCATGAGTAGGGGAAAAAAGCACACAAAATGAAAATGAAATGACAATGAATTTAATGGACATCAACAAATGGAAATTAATACATTAAGCAAAGAAAATACAAACAGAAACAAATGAGCCAAGAAGAGCTGGCAGCCTTCCATGAAAAAATCACAAGTAGATGATGGACCAGGTTGTCAAATATAACTTGCCTGTGAGTGGAGCACACAGACAATTGTAAATGGCAGTGCAAAAAAAAAAAAACCTGAAGCCCTCTGCAAAATGTGATGTTACCAATTTTTAAATGTATTAAAGATAGTTAAATATGAGCCGGATTTGAATCATTGAACAATATATTTAACAATATGAAGGGATACAATGTTCAACAAACAATGTTTAAGCTTTAAAACTGCATCTTCAACAGTTTCCTCATGTGCTGGAGCCAGTCTTTTTGGCAGGTAAAGAAAAAAAAAGAATTGGACATCTAAAGACATCAACACAACATGAAAAAGGAAATATAATACAGTCAAATAACAAATACAATCTTTAGTAACGCCACACTCACATGGATGAGATAAGACAATAATTAACAAGTTTATAATACACACAATGTCCTTCAGTCTGCTTTCGTTCTCTCTCACACACACATATACACTCACAAACATAATTTAATTATGAATCACCCAACACAAAATATGGACAGTAATAATAAGAGATGGAGCATGCAATTCAATGGATTATGGACACGAATGACTCAATGTTGAGAGGAGGATGTAGGTGACATACTACGGTTGACAATTAGCACTTTTCTTTCTTCGTACACTCGCACAAGCAGCTACCTTGCTGTATCACAGCAGCTGTATTGGTATCATAGACCTGCTGTTTCTCTTTCCTTCAATCTGTCAGTCACTGCTCTGCATATTGTCTTTTTTTTTTTAGGATTTATTTTCCTGTCTGTGTTTTTCACAAACAAAGACAAAAGCTTTGACCTTACCAGCTCATCTGATTCATCTGTATGTTTGGGGGAGTGAAAACACAATATACCCGGGGTGTGTGTCTGCATGGATGCTTGTGTCTGTAGAGTTCATATAAAATATTAAAACAATATGAATATGGAAAGCTAGGGTGCTCTCAGTGAGGCAAGTGGCCCTGGAAGGACTATTAGAAGTGCAAAGGAGGAGAGGGGGGGATGGATGGTTTCATGAATGTAGACCATTCTTTCGTGCTTCTGTTGCTAACTCATAAAAACGGGTCACGCTAGCGTGCACCAAATATATAAAACATATGACATGCATTTGTAGTATGTATCAAGCTAACTGTCTACCGTTTGTGCACAAATGGGAATTTCATGTATAAAAGTGTTTTTCTGAAGCATACATGACTGTGTGCAATTTATATGAAGATGTGTGCTTGCAGCTATGTATGTGTGAGCGGGAGAGGAGAAAGCCATAGTGCAATGCTATGTCTGTATATTCTGCTCGGGGAAATAGGTTGTGATGGTCTAAGCTGCGCGAGCAACCTACATCAGGCAGCAAAGTGCCTCTAAGTGTTTAAATGCAGGGTCCAGCGGGGTGAACTATTTAAATGCAGTACTCGTAGTAGGTCAGTGAGGCTCTATGGCTGCTTAGGAAATGAATTTATGGTGCCTTTCAATGCTTTACTGGCTGAAATTTAAAAAAAGATTTTAGTCATTTTTGAGCCTTCAGGTGTTCTTTTAAGGACAGATGTTAAAATTCAGGTTTCCATTTAAGGAAAATTGTCATTTCTGAGTCATGGTTTGGTTAAATTGACTTATGCATTTGAGGCGTACGAGCGAGAAAGGTACATTTATGATTATTCATGCACGTATACAGAGGTGACACAGAAGGAGAAAGGATGTGCAAAAATAGTGTCAGAAACTTGGTGCCTACTTCCTAAAGAAGCTTAGAATTCATCTACAAGGGAAATGATGGAATATAATGTACTCCCTCTGAAGTTAATACCCTTTCGGATGAGGAAGTGAGAGGGGGGATGGTGATAATTGGGGGGGCAGAGGGAAAGAGAAATTAGAAACTGTCAGGGAGGGAAGGGACAGAGGGAGAATTGCTAACAGTAAGAGAGAATTACATCGTCATATAGCTGAAGAGTATGAAGCTGCACGGTGGAGAGGAGAGATAATGGGCTGTGAGGCGTTCTCCCTTCCTTCTAGCCAAGCCATCGCAGGCTTAGTATAGAGTGTCAGCCAGTACAAAGGCCGGAGTAATCTCTCATTGAGAAATACACACTCATCTTGTGAAACTCTGTAAAACTAGAATTTAACTGCAGTGAGGTCAGAACTGCACTACAAAGCTTAAATTTTGTGAATGTTTGATGAGAAAAGTGTACAGAGGCAAAAGGCAGGCAGTGTGTGGTTGAATGTGGAGAGGATTTTCTCTTTCCCCTTTTCCTCATAACATCTGGTTAGTCCTCTTTCACCTCTCTAACCCCTGTTGTTGTTTTTTTTCCGGATCTCTCTCTGACAGTGTGAAAATTATCTGGAAGGAAAGAACAGAGCAGCAGAAACTGAGCACTGTAATTGTGTGCATTAATTGCCCTGCACGTATTCATTCAGAGACTCTTTCCTTTTCAACACAGAAATCTTTGTTGACCCACTTCCACAATACAGATAACTGTGGAAGCGCCAGTGTTCTGTTCTGAGTAGCTATAACCCAAATGTGATCTGTTCCTGTTGCCCTGGCAGACCTTCATATCACATCAATATAACCTCAGCAGTGATGGATTCAGAAGCCTAAGGGCCAGACTCTCCACCATCCATTAATTTGTTCCGGCACAACAAATGTAGCACGAGACTGAAGCTAGTGAGCCCAAAAAATTGAATTCTTTATGTTATGCTAATTTATGCGTATCCCTCATACAGGCAGCAATGCACAATCCATTCTTTCTGTACTATTAAAAGGTATTGACTCCAACCAACATTCTTGCCTTTTCTTCCTTAAAAAAAAAAGCCTTGCGCCTGCGCCAATAAATAGCATCATAGCTACACCCCCGCCGTCAGGTAGAAAAGTGGTATACACAAGCAGTTTCAGACAGCAGGCTCGAGAAAAACACAAGAAAACACGTGCAGGTGGGAGCCGATATGAATGGATGACAGGTTCGCATATACTGCTGCGTCTGTATGTGAACGTGAGAGGGTGAGGTGAACTGAGCGCGTGCGGATGTTTGTTTACGAGGGAGAAGGAAGTAAATCAGCGGCAGGCTTAGAGGCTCCTGCGAATTAAAGAGCTGCTGTGAGAAAACATGGTCTGATTAGAACCAAGGCTGATATTAAAAGCTCACCATCATCACTGTCAAGTGCTGGATTAACAAATACTTGAACACACACATACACATATATACATGCACACACACACACACACACACACACACACACAACACCATGCACATGAACTCAACCTCTCTAATGTGGAATTCAAGGTTTTCCATTTGAGTTGCATGCTCCCTCTCTGCACAGTATTTTTTCTAGTACCAGCTTTACAGTGTACATAGTGTGTTTGCATGTCAGGACAGATCCTCTTTCTTCCCTGTTTGCTACAGAAAACAGATTAGGATTCTTGGTTTAGATGTTTTAACAAGGATTTTTTTAAACCCCAGCCAATGACACAATATATGATAAAAAAAAAGAAACAATGGCTGAAATAATCTGATTTACTAGTATAAAATGTTTTTTTTCTAAATTCTTTTCACAAAAAGGACATGCACAAAATGACATGACTTGATAAAAAAAAAAAGTAATCCTAGATCAGCCGTTGGTACTGATTGGGTCCTATTTTTTTCACTGCTTGGTGGCTAACAGAGGATGCAAACCAATTTTTGGAGCGGGCAAAGCCAATCATCAGTCTCATCTTTAGATCAGATATTGCACAAATTACCGACTCACAGATCTCTAAAAGTCAGTGATAGCATAGTTCATTGTTTAGCTACCAAAGGAAGATAGAGTTCTCCATGAGGGACAAAGAGCTACGGGTTTAGCATATGTGGGGACGTGACAGAAAATCAGCATGAAAGGAGGAATTGCCCTAGAAATCTATTAACACTGAATAAAAGTTGTAACATTAGAGGATCCTAACACGAGCCTGCCATTCTTGGAATCGCAGAGCAGCACAGAATGAGGTCAAAGGTCAAAGCCCCACCCCCTTCTGAGACCCTAAAGATGTTGGGATGTTGTGGTGTCTTCATATTCTAGCGACTCTAAGATGTAGTTGGCCTATGCTCAGTCACGGCTTTGTCCTTTTCCTGAGAACATAGAAGGAATGTGTTATAGATTTAGTGTCACTAAATGTCACGTGTGACTGTTTGTGTGTGTGTTTGGGTCCGTTTAGCTTTGTATTCTTGTCTTACCTGGCGTCGGCTGAGGCTGCCTGGACTGGTCGGGGAGGGGCTGGGAGATTTTCCCGAATGAGGAGTGGACAACTGACTGGCCGGCGTCCCGTTAACTGGAGGGAGAAAACGAGAGAAAAAATGGAGCAGGGAGGATGAGAGGGGTGAGACTTAGACCGACAGATTATCCTTTAAATGTGAATCCATGTTTGCTAAAACAGTTATATTTCTGAGTGTCTAGCAGCTGCCCACACTTCCACCCTCAGTATCTATCCATTCACATGAATGAGCCAGAGGAGGAGGAGGACGAGAGGGGGAGTAGAAGAGAAAGGAAAAGAGCACTGAAGTCCACACTGCTCTTTTTTTACATCAACCAAAATACAAACCCAAGCTAGTCATACCAGAGCCTTTAACCATAACATGAGCTGGATAAAAAAGTGCATGGCTGCAAGTCAACATACAACACCAGGCTGTCCTCGTTTTCAACCAGATCCTCAATGCACTTGTGACCTCAGCTCGGTCTACTTTTCCAGCTGCAGCACAGCACAAAAACCCAGCAGCATCACCTCATTAAACAAGAACATTGGATTAATTAATGCTGCACCCGAGTCCTGTGTGTGGTCAAGCAAAAGCCAGATTTGAAAACTCATTAACCTGCACACAAAACATGAAAATGTCTTTCATTTTGCTGAAAACATTATTATTATTGTTTCTTGGCAACAGCACACTGCTTCACCTCCACTGACCTACAGGTCTATGAAAGTGCAATCACTGGAGAATACAAAAATGGCAATCAGGACACCAACCAGGAGCTCTGAAAATCAGCTTAGATGATGTTACATAAATTATGTGACCTCTAGGGAGGTGACAGGTATTTAATGGCCAATAATATAACCCTCCTATGGAGAAAATGGATCTAAATGACAAAGATCCAGGGTAGATTCATTATTTTCTGCCCTTTCCGAACCTATTTTCTCACATTGCTGCATTTAAACAATATTTCATTTGCAGTATCTCACTCCTAATTACGTTTTCACACAACCCGTCTTGATGCAGTGAAACCTGGGGGAGCAAAGTGGTCCAACCTTCATTGTATAATGTTTATTCCCCTGCCGAGATCAAAGAACTTTCTGAATTATTCAATACAAAAGGAGAAAAAGCCCACAGCAGACTAAAATAGCACCGACTGCCACTGGTATTACACAAGTATTTTTAATTTTCAAAACGCGCCATGAAAAAAAATGAAATAAAGAAAAGAGCTTGGCCTATTAAAAGCAATTCCTTGACATTTTCATTGATGAAATTCAGCATCAGCGTTACGCACACGGACAGACACTCCTCCCAGTTACACAACGATAAGCGTGAATATTTAAAGACATCTCTCATTCACTTCATACTATAACATCACAACATAGCAATGATAACCAAAACAATCCGCAGAGGAGGATATATATATGGATATATATATATTTATCCACATATGATCCGAGCAGGAACGGATAAAGTTTACGCGGTCGGTGGGGGACATGACAAACACCGTTTACGTAAAAAAAAAAAAAAAAAAAAGCCGAATAAAATGTCGTTGTGAGTTCCTACCTTCCACTTCCAGCATGATGGAAAAACACAGTGATAATCCAAAGCGGGGTAACGAGAAGAAGGAGAACAGCACCAGTGTATGCGCTCCGTCCGAGTGTGATAGTAAAGTGTGGTGAATGGGAGAGACGGAGCAGCGCTGTACTACACGGAGAGGCGGAGAGGCTGCTTGCGCACACTCTGACGCGCACCGGGGACAGGGGAGAGAGAGAGAGAGAGAGAGAGAGAGAGAGAGAGAGAGAGAGAGAGAGATAATCTATAGTTTTTATATTTTGGAGTAGGTTTTTTTTTTAAAGAAAATGACTCTATCTACAGTATAGAGAGAGAGAGACAGAGAGCGAGAGAGTCATTCGGAGACTTGGACGCAGTCTGTCCTGATTCCGAGGGCTCTATTGTTCCTTATCCAAACATCCTCAGCAAGTACTGCTGCTATTTTTGAACTGAAATTTCACTCCAAAGCATCAGCTATAGCTGGGTGCTCAGTCTTTCAGGCAGTTAACTGAATGCAGAAAGATGTTCAATAAGCTGAAACATCAGTGGTACATTAGAAAAGGTCAATAAACAAGAGTATGAAGCAGTGTATAGTGGTAGAACCAGTCATGTATTAATTCATCGTGGGGGTTTGGTGGTCAGATGCCTGGTTCCACATGTCAAAGTGCCTTTGAGCAAAACACTGAAGCCCCAACTTCCTCCTGATGTGTGAATACAGGATGCAAGTTGCTTCAGACAAAGCATCTGTTGGATGAATGTAATGGTTTCTTTCTAGATTCATCTTGCATCAGTCAACATTGACACACAGAGAAATCCGATGAGGAGCAACATGCAAAATTGTAATGCAGCCACAAAAGATGGTGTGTTACAGCTTCTTTCACACCTACTGTGTTAAGCTGCGCCAGCGATGAATATGGAAAAGCACCTCATGTGTTTGTCTGTCTGTCTGTGATGTGCTGGATTACAACACAACTAGCAGCCAACAGGAATTCTAATATTTGTATTTTTATTCAGGCTTTTCATGTAGTTGAAGTAGCACCTATGAGTCAATTCAAGCATTTTCAATGCCAAAGTAGAAAACAAGAAAAAAAAAAGTTCTTTAAGGCATTATTAGGCACAGTGGTTATAATTTGCTAACTAACATTGGCTAATTATTATCTAATTAGCACAAGCACAATACAAAGTATATATTTTGGAAACAAACGAAAGTTTTGGAGAAATTCAGACTTTGTCTTGATGAAGGCCCAAGTTACAAAGTTAAGTGATTTTTATTTTATTTCAATGCATCCTCTTGGGACCACGAATGTCTGTAAAAAAGTTTCATGGCAATTTATGCAATAGCTATTGGGATATTTCCGTCCGAACCAGAGTGGGGGACTGACCGACAGAGCAACATTGCCATCCCTAGAGTCATGACACTAAATCTAATATATGCAATACTGATGATAAAAACAATGCATTAATAGAATAGAATAGAATACAGTTCTATTATCTGGAAGAAATGCATTTTGTCATGGGAAAAAACAAAATACTGTTGGCAAGCAACATATTAGCTGTGAACAAAAATAAAACCTACAACTATGGCAAACTATATGGGTCAATACAAAGGCCTATATCCAGGACTGAGCGATAGGGGCCTAAAAATAAATCTCAGCTTTTTTCAAGCACCATATCTGATTGACGATTTTTATATTAAAGAATTGATTCTACACATTCAGCGTTACAGTGTTTTACAGTCTTTAGCAGCTTTCTAGCCCCGCATTATAACATTTGTAGCTGAACTCGATTCAGAATTTTTTTTGCTTAGTTTGAAAACTTAAATGTGTGTGAATTAATTTAATTGATTTATAGCCCAGCTCTGCACATACTGAGGAGTTTCTATTGAATATTGTCAGAATGACAGGTGCTAAATCAGTGTGTGGGTATTTTTTTTTTATCTTCTCCATCTTGGGAAAGACTTAATCAATAATAGCCTTAATGGATAAACTGGTCTTCATGGCTGACCAATCACATTCTTCCCTCTTATCAGATGTGTTCTGCATAACATGTGTATACCATTACATCTTTTTTCTAAAGAACCGCACCTCATCATACAAATACTCTATTGTACAAAAGAAACATGTATAATCACAAACATATGGTTCTTAATACAAACCTATGATAACAAATGGAAGTTTGTGCCTTTTCTATGAGGGCTGTCAAAGGGTGTTCTGGGAAATTCTGCGCACAAAATCGGAACTGCGCCTCATGAAATGTTTGGGACAATTGCTCCTATAAAGTAGACACACTGTCGAACATTACAAATTACAAATATTGTAGAAAGTACAGAACAGAGTGTCAATGCAATGCTGTTTCATGAACACAAAGCTGCCTGGAGGCATGTCAGTACCTGTCTTTAGTGCAAATATCAATAATGCCTCGGCTATTCATTGGTTTTTCTTGCAGCCTCTATTATTTGTTACACTCCCTGTGCTTATCTGTTCAGAGAATACATGTCTACCCTATATCCTACCCTATTCTATAAAGCAAGAAAAATGGTAAAGGCTGCAGACATCACGCGATCACAGTTCAGAGTGTCACAGCCGGCAGCCGATCCTCTGGAGATACGTTGGATTTATGTGTGGGTCGGCTGGCCCCGCACACTTCACCATAAAGTCTTTCCCGTCATGCGGAGTTGCTCATGACAGCAAGAGAAAGGTGAATCCCTGAAGTATCAGAAGTGATGTTTGCTGACACCATCTGCAGCTCTCTGTTAATTTTAGCTGACATGAGGCATCAGAAGAGAGCGGGGAGACAGATGGCGAGACAGGGAGAGAAACTATGTCTGAGTGCAAATTGTTTTCTCACATTATTTTGGGTCTCTCTGTGTGTGTCTATAGGAGCTCAGCTGGGGTTGTGAGATCATCACAAAATGAAGCTGGAGCGATGACATTGTCAGGCTGACGCGCAACAACAACCTGCCCACAGACACACAGACACACACAAAAATGACGCCACATCAGACCCTGCTCAGTATGAGTGTGGATCCCTGGCATTTCTCTCAACAGGGGAAGATTACCTTGAAAGTTCAAGGTGAATGAAATTGTACTTAATGGTTGAAATTTAATCAGTTGTTGTAATCATTGAAGGTCGGTCAGAAAAAGTCAAGATGTAATTTGTATCTTAAGATTGAATCTATTAAAATTCAGGAAAATATTCTCACTGTCTACATCAAGATTATTGATCGATTACTGCACAATAAAGAGAGGCAAGCATTAGACTAAGACCTGCTAACACATACGTCTCTATGCTTTGATGTTTTTTAGTGGGAACAAGGAAGAAGAGTTACCTTCTATGTGTGCTGGGAAGCAGTCTGAAAAGTTGTTTGTTACAACTGTGTTTCTAAACTGATTCATTATATTTCCCAGACGCTCATGTTCGATGAGACAACGTGTTTGTCTAGTCTGATAAAACAAAACTTAAGATAGAAAACAGACAGAGACAAAGACAGAGAAAAGTTTCACAGTCTTTCTTGTGCCATTTAGTTCCAGCTGTTTTAGCGTTTTATCCACGATTTGTAATAGAAATGTATCACTTTATCTTCCACCTTTTCCTCTCAATTTTGGTAATATATGTATAATGTTTTACATTGACAGCTTTTACACATTTGTATCATACAGTAAATAGGTTTAAGTACTCTCAGCACAACATAAGAAAACACACTAAATGACTGTGACTGATTAGTTCAATTAACAATAACATTAAATCTCTGTAAGATACGATAAGCTATGTAATTTTTTTAGGTGTTTTTATTGAAGTAAAACAACCATGATCTCCATAAACAAATGACACATGAGAAAGACAGACAAAGAACCAAACAAAGGGCCCCCGACTACCTCCCACCCACAACCCTGGTATGCTAGACATTTTCCCTTGGTCACGATTGGAAACAGAATTCAATTAGGAAGGTATGGGGTCCTAATAAGTATTAATAAAGTATACATTGCAACATTAAGTAAGCAATGGGAAGATTGGAAAAAGAGGAGGACACGTTTCTATACTAATTCTAATTCACTAGCCAAGGGGGGTGCAATAATGGCAATAAGGCCAGAAAAATGCTCCATATTTTCTCACTGGTTTTCTTTTTCAAAAACTTTATGTGAACATTATATTTACATAGTCAGTTTAGTTTTGAATTTGACCTTAACGTGAATTAAACAAAATTTCAAATCACATTTGAAAAATTGATTCACATTTGATTTTAGATGGGTAAAGAAATGTGCAAATTGTTGAAAGCTGTTAAAAGATTTTTATACTGAATACTGTGGTTGCTTCTCAACATAATTACAGTCCCCTGTCCCACCTGTCTGCACCACATATTTAACAAATCATATAATTTGTAAAACAAATGGCTGCACCAGTGGATGAATGAGACAAGTCCCATTAAAGGCACTGTATACGTTATAATTTAACATTTAATCCTACAGTATAAGATCCTCTGTTTGTTTTCTTTGACTCCAGTCTGCGACTGTCTCTGATCTCTGTCCGTCTCGTCAGTTTGTTTGTCCGACCCTCACACAGAGGTCTAAGCTGTAAACAAACACAACAAGGAGCAGCCAGACACAGAGGGACAGCAGGTGGTGTTTGACAGCACATGTGTTGTGCTATTTCTCTTTCACTATCTCAGATATAATTCACGCTTCACATCTTCTCTGTGCAGCTCGTCTAGTCCAGATTATTAGATGTGATAAGGAATGTTATCAATGCTGTGTTGGCTAAAAGGGAAATTAATACGGGACTCTCAGAACACCTGAACACCTGCAGCAAGGCTTAAAGATAATGGCTTTCTTTATTGTGCTCTCTCCAAGTGAGCATGATAAATAATAAGCTCCTATTGGTTTCTACAATAAATATCAATAAATAGACTGCTGTCCATTCTTTTAATTCCATTGCCATTGTCTCAGATTAAAAGGTTCTGAGTGTCGTTTTAATTAAATAGCTGACGAATGCTGTGATAAGATAACATTTAGAATAATAAGGCTTTCATCTAAATGCGTTATTCTGCAGAGGTAATGGGCTTAAAGCCCTATTATTATCATAATACAACTAATACAAGGATGCAAACTAGACAACGCTGTTTTAGCTGGAGATTAGACTGGAGTGTCAACAATTAAGGTAAATTATCTTCCTCTTTTGCTAAAGATTAACTTGTTGTCAGTGGACTGTAAGGCCAAAGGTCCATTAGACAACATTAAAATGACAGACATCTTATATTTCCTGACAGTAATTTCAGCCTTGATGTCAGAAAACTGTGCATACTGCATATCTGTAAATCACGCACACACACACACATTCCAGATGAGGCTGTAAACTCAGAAACAACAGGCGACCAGCCTTTTTGATTCCCTTGTTGATTTAAACATTATTGGGAGGAAATCTCCCCTGACTTTGTCACAACTGTTTGTTTTTGTTATATTTTAAAGTAGTTAGTTTGATTTAGGGCTGCTACGAATGATAATCTTTTTTTAAATCATTGACTAAACAGTTGTCAAAATGCTCATCAAAACTTCCCAGAGCTCAAGTTGACATCTCTAAATCGCTTGTTTTGTCTGTAAAACACGTTAACAAACCTGAGAATATTCAATTTACTACGATCTAAAACAGAGAAAAGTGGGAAATCGTCAAGTAAAACCATCAATGCTTGGCATTTTTGTATGATAAATTACTAAACTACTATTAATTACATCATTTAAATATTTTGATTTGATACTGTTTATAAAACACAAGACAATAGTTATATTGTTTCTCAAATATTAACTCTAAATTATTCAACTTCATTGTGATAATAAATTGCAAATGAAGTGTTACATCAAACTGTGACTCAGTGAATCTATGAATTTTTTTATTAGTTACACTCTTCCGTCATAGTGTGGGATATTCTGCTCTATCTGATTGCAGTCTTTTAATTTTCATTATCAAGCCTTCTTGTGAACACGTGGAATAACAACAGGATGGGCACCTCTATAAGCCATGTGGTAGAGCGCACAGTATCAGCTGTTGTTGACTATTAGCATAATTCTTAGACAAATTGTCCTCAAGGGAAGGGGGCATGCTGTGCTTCTAAACTAAAAAAAGTGTCAGTCAGGGTGATTTTCTCCTGTCGCTCCACTCTAAACTCTTCTGGTACAAACTGATGATGTTTTGGGGAATTAATACTGTGCGGCACCAAACAGTCAACAGCAGTCTGGGAACATTTTGATGATGTTAAGTAGCGGAAGCAGCGCCAGAAGGGGAACATTTCTCAGAAGTGAAAAACGTCGGGGACGGTCTGACTCAGGGTTCCAGCGAGGACTGAGCGTCAGTCAGCTCCGCTTCTCCACTGCAGGCCATTTCACAGGAAGCCACTGCCATATATGGCGGTCACAGGCTATTGTGTCTGTAGCTACATGCTCCTACTGTGCTATGTTTCCATGGCAACCAAGACGAGTCTCCTCTGTCTCAGTTCTCTCTCTCTCTCTCTCTCTCTCTCTCTCTCTCTCTCTCTCTCTCTCTCTCTCTCTCTCTCACACTCACACACACACATTAGTATACACCTTCATTCCAGACTTGCTTCAGCCAGCGAGATCAAATAGCGCATGACTCACTCTCATAACCTTTTCCCCAAAAGTTTTCGAGCCATCAGAATCCAGAACTTTCTTTGTTCACCCCAGCTGTTTCTGTCCCCCACCCCCCACCCACCCTTCTTGCTTTTCCCTGTGCCTCGCCTTTTTCTCCGCAGCTCGACACAAAACATATTAGTGGCTGTTAGGTTTCATTCAGCAGTGCTACATGACTGTTTTGAGGCAAAAAAGTGTGTCTGCATGCTGCTTCAACAGCAGGTGGAATGATTTCTGTCTGGGGAGTTTCTATATGTTGCATCACCCATCGAATCTTCCCCAACCCAATAGGTCTCCCTGCACTCAAAATAAAATATGAAATAACAAACAAAAACAGTAATGGTGAAAGGTCAGGTGTGCTGTTGCATGACTGGGTATTTTAACAGTCAAGAAAATAATGACCTGGTATCTGATAAAGCTTCAAAGTTATCACCAAGTCCTCAGCTGCAGACTGAATGTTTGCCACACACACACGCACACACGCACACACACACACACACACACACACACACACACACACACACACACACACACACACACACACACACACACACACACAAACTGCTGCATTAATGGAAGCATGTATCAAGATATTAAATTCAAAACCCTATTTTATCTGAAAACATTTTTGTGCTTTACTTTTGCCTCAGAGGGGGATTTTGTTTTGAGACATTCATAACAGCGTCATTATCAGGCACAAACAATGCAGCAGGTACCAGTGCAAGCTCTCACCATTTTATTACATTTCATTAGTATGTCAGGTGAAGAACGGCTTGTGGGGAGCTGCAGGATTGAGTCACCAACCCTCTTCTTTCCCTCTCATCTTTACTCCCGCTCCCCCTCTTTTTTTTACCTCTCTCATCCATGTTTGCCTTTTTCTCCACTCCCTTGCAAAATCATTCTCATTCGAATTCATATTCTGCATGCAACGAGACACAGTTCCCACACACACACACACACACACACACACACACACACACACACACACACACACACAGTAAACACTGGCAGACACTCTGCAGAGCTCTGATTTCATTGCAGTGTTTATTCATACTGTTTTCATTTACTGCGACGCTGATTAAGTAATGAGCTAGAAAATACAAAGCAATCACATGAGGAAGTATTAGGATACAAACAACTCCCAGCTGTGTCCATCAGGTCTGAGACACTGCACACAGGCTTCATGCACAAACACACAGATGCAAGGATACAGCTCAGATATCTTATTGGCAAATGACACCCTGCCAAAGTACATTAACAAATAGGTTGCTTGAGAGGAAGAGGGAAAAAAGAAGAAGAAACTTAATTCACTTACCGGATGCAGGGGACTTGCTGCGTCGTGATTGGATGACGGTCCTAGGGGAGCCTCGGGTCAGAGAGCCAGACATCTTCCCATAGTTTACAGACTTCACCACGCGACACTCTGCAAGCACAGAGTCAAGACAGACAGATGTGTTCAGGTACTATTAAGAAACCACAAATTCCTTCACATTTAATTATTCATCCACTCAAATAGTTGCCAAAAACGTACCTACAAATGGGAGTCCAGGGCCTATAGGGTTTAAATCTATATCCATACAAGGCAGCAACTGCTACACGTAAGGGAAGAGAAAGATGCTGCACTCTTGCTGGCACAAAAAAAAATCATGCATTGAAGGAGTGAATATTACGGGTGCCACTGTGACATGACATTGTGTCCTGCCAGCCTTCTGAAACACATGTCAGTTTTGTTAGACTGACATTCAAATTTCATGGATTTCTAACCAACTATTGCAAGTTATCAAATATTTTGATTGATTTTGACCTTTAGTCATGCAAGAAAACACCAAAGCACTAATGTACCAACACAGCTGTAATTGGTTTTACCTTCAGGTCCCCTGCAAAAATTAGTTCTGACCTTCACTGAGCTCGCTTTCCAAACGCAATTATTGTGGTGTTTCAGGAGTGACAGCTATGACTCACGGAGGTCTGATATTTTACAGACACACAATCTTGGTAAATGAGCCATCTGACAGTACTCACACACACTCCTTGCCTCCTTCATCCCCAAAACTTTGCTCTTCTCCTGTTCATTAACCCAACCCCATTATAGCTCATTACCATTTTAGACCAGGGGGAAGGGGAAATTATACACACTCTGCTATGTATGCGTGTCTTCATCTGCACGTGATTGTGTGTGCATGTGCGATTATCTGTGTGTGTGTGTGTGTGTGTGTGTGTGTGTGTGTTATTTGCTTGGTGGCAGTCATTGTGGCCCAGTGATTAATGTACAATGTGGAGTGTTAACGTGATGACAGTGTGCCAGAGCTGAGGCAGAGGCGATAATTATAGTGATGCTGAGAGGAGGCGAAGTTGTCTGCAGCTCTGACTCCAACTGTCTCCTGTCTCTCTGTCGCATCTGTTTCATTTGTCGCTCTGCTTTCCCGTCTTTCTATTTTTGCATTCTGCCTCCAGCACTCTGTCTCCCAGGGCATGAGGAGGTGTCAAATAAATAAATCTATATATTTATTTGGAAAAAAAAACAAGTCCCCACAACGTTACCCCTTTACCTTAGGGTTAAGGTTATAAGACTAAGTTTTTGGTGAAAGTGAGGGTTGAGGTTGGGGTCTAGCATTAAGAATTAAGGAAGTATTATAAGTCTATGCAATATCCGTAATGTAACAAGAACAAAAAACCAATAATTTTAAGAAATAAAAGAAAGATATATGCAGAGAATGATATATTGTTTTTGAATGTTGATGATCACATCCAAAATTAGTGCACTACAACATTATTTAGCTTATTCAGATGGAAAGGTTAGTTTGATGTACAAATTGTAGACTGTTTTAAAATGCTAATTTCACCAAAATTACATGCCCTCTAATTAAAACCAGGTTTCTACACAATCCACTATTAAAGGCTTTCATGTCCTTTGTAGTGAAATCAGTAGAGCAGGGTCATATTGATGTCTCCAACTGATGTATTCCATTGCCCCATATCTCCAGACATCTCAGTTTTTGCATAACATTTCTAGTCTAAATGACCCACTGAGACACGTCTAAGCCTAGCCAGATACAAACTGGACCAATCAGCAATCTATGAGGTGTGTTTAGATGATGTATGATGATGTCAGTCCCTCACCACATCTTGAAACCTCAAAGTACCTATTTTAATTAGGTGTATTTAAAATGGTAAACAAAATAAATAGCAAATAAGACATGATTATGTGATATTTATCTTACTTTGTGAGTTGGTCAGGAGCTTGTGAATGCACTATTAACAACTGAACAGCGTGCAATGGATTAAAATGGATTATGGGAAACTTAGAGCCATAGAAGATACACTGGTTGTCTCCTCTGAAGTCAGAGAAAACAATGCCACATGTTGCATGTAGGAGGTTGTTTTGTGGTCTTTCTCAAGAGAAGGTTACGAAAAAGAAATGTAATGGAAGCAGCTAGTTATTATATTTTGCAAATGAAAGGTGAGTAGTGGGGAAGAGAGGGAGGAAAAAAGAAAAAGAGTGACAAACGGGGGAAGGAGGTGGAGGCTGGCGACCCAGGTGGGATGGATATTATTTAATGGATGAAGGGATACAGGGGAAACAAATGAATTGAATAAACCTCTGAACAAAAGCCAGTGCATACTCATTCATGTAGGAGACAGGAAGAGGGATGAGAGGGTGAGAATACAGATGAGCGCTAAATGGCAGGAGTCTTCAGACAGCGATGAAGGGGGAGACAGAAAGCAAGACACAGATGGGTAAAATGGGGGCAGAACGTATTCTCAGCAGACCGCAGTGGAGAGACAGACAGAGAAGAAAAGGAACAATGGTGCAATTGGTTAGACGATTAAGGCTAAAGTGCAGTGGACCTGTTCTTCCAAGAGGAGAGAGGAGAAGAGAGGAGAGGAGAGAAATTGAACTGTAATGAACTGGACCGCCTACACCGTCCTCTGCCACCTGAACCAGGGAGATGTGTCATATAGGGGCAAGACGAGGGGTGCTGTGCAACTGAAAAGACATAGAAGACTTAAAATGTCTAAAAACAAATCAAACAAAGAAAGAAAGTGACAGAAAGCTAAATAACTGTCAAAATAACAAATGTTTTTCATCTTAAGGTCCAGTGTCCAGGATCTAGTGGCATTTGGCGGTGTAGTTCGGGATCAAAATGCCCTTGTTTCAGCCTCCCCTCCCAAGCGTGAAGGATAAACTATAGTGACACACAAAGAACATGAACGTTTTTATCCAGCCAGTGTTTGGTTTGGTCACTTAAGGGCAAGAAACATGGCAGTTCAACATGGTAGACTCCATGGAACACAATCTGCAGTGTCTGTAGATTAAAACTGCTCATTCTAAGGTAACAAAAACACAAGAATTCCTATATTCAGGTGATTACTTATGAATCGTTTATTCCATTTCTGCCAGTAGATGCTCCTAAATGTTACACACTGGATCTTTAATTATAACACAGTAAATGCACACATAAAAGGGAGATCACAAAATTACGCGAGAATCCATCTTGCCAGGCTTCAATTTATGCGTTTGTATAGTGGAACAGTGGTAGTATAGTCAGATGGTTCATACAGGGTAGTGAAATAAAGTGTCTCCATTGATAAAGGTTTAAAATACAGTACTTGCACACAAACATCTTAACAACTACATTATATTCAGGAAGTAGAAAATATTCAAATTTCTTAGTTAATGGTGAAATTACTGATTTTATAATTAAGTCAGTTACAAGGGGAACTGCAGATTAGATTAACCTTTAGATGAGTATTATTTCTCTGCTCTGCTCTGATTGGACAAGCTTTAAATATAAAAATTGTTGTTCACTATACTTAACTGCATGGCAATGTAACTATCAATTTGAGGCTAATTATTCCCTTTTTTTTAGAATTATTTAACAGAATAAAGTATCACAACTACTCCTATTCTATCACAGTGTGATTGCACCGAATGGTAGATTGCTCAACCTTAGAAAATAGCACACAAAGAAACAACTTGTAAACAATCAGCAAGCACAGCTGGGGGCAGGAAGGAAAGGGAGGAACATATGAGGGGGCACACTGAACAGTCAAATGTGAAATGTCGGCGTGGAAATGTCAGAGGAACTAGTAGTCGCCTCACCACTCTCATCCAGCATCAAGTCATCTTGGTAGCGGAACTTCTCCGGTCCACACGCCACAAAAATGTCCTCATCGCCAAAGAAGTCTTGCAGACATGACACCTGGAAACAAAGACACACAGATGAGTTCAGTGATTATTTTTCCAATCCAAGTCCAAGTTGGATGCTTACACAGATGGCAGCCGCCTTGAGCAATGACACTTTTCTACGATTAGAGGCTGAATGTTTTTTTCAAGGTCACCTTAACTATTTGTTGATAGGCTCTCACAACAACAATTTCCCAGCTGGTCTGCAGATTTGACCATTCAGACATCTATTTTTTTCACCTAGGTTACTGATACTGTGTACACATATACAGTGCACAGGCCACTCACACACCAACACGCTGCTCTGCACATGCTCACCAACTTTCACTGGTTGTGCTTTGGTGAAAAATGCACTGAGCCCCGGGAGATGAATAGGGAACACCAAGGCTGTCTGTTTGTGCATGCTTGTTTTTATTTGCATGAATGCTTATTGGTGTCTGTGAATATCTGTGCGCATGCCTGACATGTCCCTGAGCTCCAGGGTTGAGTTGTTTTTGTAGTTAATCAGTCTATCAGCGACTATAAAGAAACCTTGCTGACTCACTAATTTGCTGATATGCTGCAGAACATGCACCGGACATCCAGAGCAAGAGCAAGCAGGGTCTGTTCCCTGAAGAGCATCTTATGAATGGTAATGAGTAACCACCTAACTAACTAAAGTAAGAAGAAGAAGAGTGAATACAAGGCTACGGAGAGGTAACAGATCCTTGTGAGAGAGAGGTTGTGAGGCAGAGAAAAGTCCAAAATAGAGATATCACTGTTGAATGAGTACTGAATGACAAAGATATATCTGACTCACAGAAAGAAGAAAAAACACTATTTTGATGAGTCATTTTGTCATTCTTTGACTCCGTACTGTGAAGCTAATACAAAAAATGTGTAACACAATAGAAACTGGATGGTTAAAGACCCAACGGTTTTTATTAAGAGGGTCCGCAGAATCTTTATTATTTTGTCTAGAGGTGTCCAATTAACACATAGTTAACAAATCTTCAACTTAAGCTCTAACATGTCAATTCTATCTGCACAAGACAGATGTTATTTGGTTTTTTACTGTAATCTCACTCTGCTAGAAAAGAAATCTAAGCAATAGGGTGTTTATTATAACAAATAGGCTAAGAAACATGCTGCTGCTTATTATTTTCTATTTGATTTACTTGGCAGCTAATTCCATATCTGATCTAAACTCTGCATGATTTACTCAAACAACTTTAATTACACCCCACAGGCCAACCATCACATTGAAATCTCAAGCAATCAATATTCCAAATTATATTTCACGATAGGCAACGGTACAGTCAGAAAGGGATTTATGGGAAGACAATAGTTTCATTCATCTGCTATGACAAATCTCCCACCAAAAACCTATTAAGAGCTTTTATAATTTAGGCTGCATGCGTGTCTAGCACCGCCTGGAGTTAACACATAAACACAAAGCTACCGTTATTGCATTTTCATGGCAATTAACATCCAAGAATCCATTTAGATTCCTATTAGCCACTGATCAACACCCCAAAAGAAAGTCACAGCTGATATAACAGCATTATCAACAAAATACCCAATAAACAGCGAAGAGGCCATTCTGTGTGTATGTGTGTGTGTGTGTGTGTGTGTGTGTGTGTGTGTGTGTGTGTGTGTGTGTGTGTGTGTGTGTGTGTGTGTGTGTGTGTGTGTGAGGGGAGATGGGAGTCCTTTTTCTTTACCCCCCACCGATTCTAAATGAGCCAACGGGGGGGCACAAAAAATAGGTTTAATCTCAGACAGCCTCTCTGTGGAGTATGGATCGTTTTCATTTAACTTTTCAAATCAAGACTCGACTGCGTCTATGTGCGTGTCTGCCTACTTTCGGACACACATCACGTGAAAACACACATTTTCTGCACAGGCATATGTGTGTACGTGTCTGGGTATGTGTGTGAGGAAGCGATATTCCAGTTTCATAACAGAGTGCATATTGCTTTGTTCCCTGATATCCCCTGATAGTGTGCTGGTGATTATTTCAGGGGCGAGCAGCTCCACTTCCTAACAAGATGGCTGGGATACAATGTTGGTGCTGTTAACGCCATAGCCACTTCTGCCTCTAATTATTTCACAATATTTTCATCTTTGCATACATTTTGTATTGCATTGTGTGGCATAGTTATAATATCTGTTGTGTCCACAGAGCACCCTAACTTTACTTTTAAAGTATTGCATGATTGTTATTAATAGTGTTGCTGTTCTTGGCTGTTATATTTTTTTGTCACATATTCATAAGTAGTGAAAATGTCTCCTTGGACTCCTGCCAAGACAAAACAATTAAGTTATTAATAAAAGAAAAACTATAACCAGCATATTAAAATTAAAATAGCTGTTAGTTGCATTAGCACAAATATGTTGAGATGTACTAACAAGCTACCTATGTTGTTGTTTAGGCATGAGCGAGCTAGTACAACAACTACAAGCATTTTTCAAAGCATTTGATTTATTAATTTGTTGAGATGTAAAGAGAATTTCAACAAATACAACAAAAAGTGCTTCTGAAACACATTACCTACCCTAGCTTTAAGCTTGTGTTCTTTTGAAAGCTTTGTTCCTGTCAAAGAGGATTTTTGTTGGATGGGAGCAGCTGGATGTGTGTTTGTTGCTCTGAGTCAGTCTGACCACGTCCTTAGGCCAGGACTGCTGTTGCTACTCGAGTCAACCCAGAGGAGGTTGCTGGAATGAGGCCCTTTGAAGCTGCTCATCCCAAGATAGAAACTGTAGCCCACCAGAAATGTCGGGTAAACGGGGAGGAAAGAGCACATGCAGAATGTAATGAGAGTGACGTAGACAGAGAGAGGGAAAGGAGAAATCAGGGGAAACAGGGACATTGTTCATGTAGGGCAGCCTCTGAGGGCACCTTTAAGCTGAGGGTAAACTAATATGGAGCAACACACAAACACATACTGTATACTGGGAGGGGTGTGAAAAAGTATGGTTGCCATAGCGATAGTGCCCTCTAGGCATCGGTGCATGGCTGGTGCGTGCCACTGACTGCACGATGTGCACACTGTGATAGAGAGCACCATCATTCATATTTTATCTACTATGGGCACGATCCTCTGCAGAACTGTGTCATTCACACAAATCCACACACAAACACATACAAATGGTTAACACATAAATACTCCTGTTGAAAAAAGAGAAGAAGTAGAGCTCTTCCCCGAACGCTCGGAAAGACAGACGGAACAATGAATGACGGTGAGGAGGGGGAGCTGGTAAAGGTGAAAAGAGATGAAAAAATAAAACAAAAACAGTCAAAGATGAAACCAACTCGCTGAATCCCCTGAGTTAGAGAGGAAGCAAACAGACAGAGGGAAACGAGCAGTAGAGGAGGAGATCTATTCCTGACTGCTGCTCTGAGCCCTTCTCTGAGCCCAGTGACAAGCTGCTTTGATGTCTCTGGTGCTCCGTTCTCACAGAGAACCAGCACGGTTACACAACATCCATGGCTGCTAAAACAAGGACAGGAAGAAACAAACAGAGGAAAATACGGACTAAAATAATATGATGAGAAATCATGCAGAGGAGTGTGGAAATTGGCAATTTCATAGCCCTGCCATCACCTCTCAGACATCTTTATTAAAGTGAGAAATGTGGCTTTAAGACTTGGTCACGATGATCAAAGCGCTTGCTTATATTAAAAAGGATCTTTAAATTTCCATAAAGGATTTATTCAAGTATTATTTTGGTTCAGAGCAAAACAAAATTAAGACAAGGAGCAAGGTAGAAGGTTGACAGGTTCACCTATTGTGTTTCAACCTCTTCCCTTATTGTCCAACAACACCATGACAGAGAGCACAGTTTACTACTACAATGGTGCTATACATAACAAAAGGATAAATGGACATTTGTTTGATAGTTAGTCATATTCAGAAGTTACAACAACAGTAAAGCAAGAATTACATAGAGAGGCTGAACCAGGTGTCATGTCTCATAAATGTGACCATCATATCCTCCTGAAAATGTCTTATGCAACAAATAATAGCTCACTATAAGTATTTGTCAGTAAACCTTTTCACGTTCTCACTACGCCATCTAGTGTAGAATCACCAAACACCTGCCAAAGTGTTTGCTTCTCTCTTTCCCAGGTTTGTTTTTCTTCTCTTTCTTTTTTGCTTCTCTGACACCAAATGCAAATCACATTTAAGGAATCAGCTCGTTTCGGTCAGATACCGTGCTGCAGGTTTGCATAACATTGCCGCAAAGTTGGATCACAAACTGAGGCACACAATCACCACATGGTGGCACTGTTAAACACATGATGTGGAGAGATTGCTACACAACAAGGACTCCACTACAGTACCACCAGAAAAGCAGGGTGATAGGCAATCTAGATGTCAGTTACTCCGATAGACAGAGCCGATGTCAAAACTATGTGGGCACACTAACCACCATTTTAATCGAGGCTTGAGCAGAGAAAGAGAGAGATAGACATAGACAGTTTCATACAAAGAAAGAAAATTGTAAAAGCTTGAATAGGGATATAGCTTCTCACACATGAAAATAGGCTGAACATTGTCTACAGCATAAAAGCTCAAATATCAACATGTGAAACACACAGGGACTTAAAACCACATGTGGTTTTATTTGAGTACGCCAACCACAGCAGTAGATAGATTAAAACATTTGAAATCTCAGTTTGGTGTTTGTCATGAGGGATGCCTGTGAAGCTGCTGTGCAGATTTTTTAGTTTGTGTTCTCAGGGACGCGAGCGGAAATGCTTGAGACCAATAGCTGTAAAAGTAAATTAAAAATCAAGCCTACAGGGATGGTGAACACTATCTCATTTCACTTTTTAAACACACAAACACACGGCATGTGTCATAATCTTAATTGTTATTTTGTTAGGACATGCACAAATTACTATGCAGCTACAAACACACAGCTACAAGCCCCTCCTGAGCACCCCGGTGGTCTAAAATCTTAACTTTTGTGTTCAAACAGTCTGTCTGGTTCTCGCCAGCAGCTCCTGTCAATCAGCTGCGGGGAACA